GGGGGAGAGGGAGTCGGGACGGCTTTGCATCTGCAGACCCCTCCTCCCCCTCCGTCCTAAATATTCCTGGATCCGCCCCTTCCAGTACTGTACAACACGGAAAGTCGTTACGTACAAACAGTGTGCTAGTTATGTCTAGTACATGTACAGTTCAGCTACACATGCACAAGTAGTACCACATGCTAGGCACTTCATTTTAATAATCAGCCGATAAAATGTTTCATACAAAAATAGGTACATTGCACATGTGTGCGTATGCTAAAAAAACGTACGTGCGGTGTTTAACATTACATTGAATATTTATCTAATTAAAATTGACTGTCGACGTATGATCATAAAAGACATTCAATGTGTGCCACATAAACACACACACACACACAGAGACACACACACACACACACACACACACACACACACACACACACACACACACACACACACACACACGTGTACGTGAGCTTCACGATAATGTTGGGCTTGTCTTGAAATTCTCAAACGTTCTTCAATTGAGAAAGGTTTGTTTTTACACACTATTTGGCTCGTCCCTTAAAATTGTAGACTCAACCTAATAAATATATTGTAAACATTTGATATAATTGTAACGAAAATAACTTAATATATGTGATTTATTAAACACTGTTTCTTTAAAAATATAATTAGTGCTTGATTTGAATGATTAATTGTACTACATACAAAAAATTCACTCAACGCAACATTACACTGGAACTAACAGTATTTCCAGGTAAATTTTGCACCATGGGCAACTACATGCACCTATCTTTATCGCCATGTTACCGATCGGCTAGACAAATCAATCGGTCAGGTCCTTTGATTTAGCTCAGATCAGGAATAAAGAATCTATCGATCAATCAGGGTAAGATCAAAACTCGGAATTCCCTCTCTGGGGTAGCGCTGGCATTTTTTTTCGCTTAGCCATATCACCACATTTTTGTCAATTTGTTATCAAAATGGTTATAATTTGGCTAAAACATGTCAAATCAAGCCCTTTTTCTTTAGCCAATTTCAGTCAGTTTTAGCATCTGGCTAAATTGGCGAGTGTTAGCGCTACCCTAGCCTCTAATTAATAAAGTCAGCTTTATAAACTTAACGTTAGAATTTTCGGTTGTTTAACTGAACAATAGCAGTTACAGCCTAGTAAAGTTATGCTACTTCTTATCTGCGTTTGAAAATTCCACATTTAGACCTTTTCATTGATAAAAACCCTCGGATGCGCCTTTGTTATGAAGGTCACCATTATCCAGGTCCGTTATCCTGAAGGTCTACAATTTTGAAGGTTCAGTACTCCTCTGGAGTTTTTCGCTATTTCAAATTTGCTATTCCATAATACAATCTGTTCTTCAGAAATACATGTTTAGAGGGTTGCAAAGAAAGAAATACTCAAAATACAATCTGTTCTTCCGAAATACATGTTTAAAGGGTTGCAAAGAAAGCAATACTCATTACGCCGGATCATGTTCCAATTACACTGCTAATACAATTCATGAAGTGAAGCGGTTGTACTGTATATCAATACTCTTTTTCAGAATAGTTATATTTATGTTTTGTGAGAGAGAACTCTTCGGAATAGTGAACCCTGCATCTTCGAAAATAGTGGACCTTTACAATAGCGAACCCCAGATTTCAGAGGTCCTAAAAAAATTCATAACATAGAGCTGCAGGTACCATGTACATGGTACAGGTCCAGCGGTGATTTATTAATAGGAAGAAAAATATTTTTCAAGAATTCAATTTTACCTAAAATCTTTGGCATTACATATAAAATTAGCACAACAGAATGTTATTGTAACTTGTACCCCTAAAAATAGCTGCTTCACATTTATTCATGATAAAGGAAATTGAATTTCACTGTATCAGTGTTATACTGGTATAATGTGTAGCACCTATATATCAGATACTTCTAGTGTATTATACTTAATTACTATATAGGTTCTCCTAGTGGATGTTTTTGAAGCATCAAACTGTGTCCCACACTGCTGCAACAGCCAAGCTGAGTCATGTCTGGTTCTGAAGACGAGGAGTGTATTCCAGAGTTGGTACCAGCTGAGATAACGAAAGTCCCTGTCACCGTCATAACTGGTTTCTTAGGTATGCATTCCTACACAGCCAAGGCTGACTGACCTGGTCAAAAGTTTACTCAGTTTATGTTTGTTTGCTACAGCAACTATGTCCTCTACGGCATATGTTTTGTTGTAACCAAAAACTTATTATTTTCAAGAATGTTGATGTTTGTATCAGTTTCTTTAACCTGCCAATCATAATTATTCTTTACCTTTTTGTAGAAATTAAATTAATAAAAATTAATTAATTAATTTATTAATGTGAGCCGCAAGAGAAAAGAAACCCTTCACATTGTAACATGAAAAATTTCAGTTTACCTACTGTTCATTTATTTGCCTTTTTACAGGGTATGGTGTTTCAAAATGTATTTATTCACAGACACTGTATGCTTTGTTTTTTTCTTCTTTTTTTTTACGCCATACTGTTGTATTTATTTCAGGTGCAGGCAAAACAACCTTGTTGAATTACATCCTGACTGAGCAACATGGCAAGCGAATTGCTGTCATCCTCAATGAGTTTGGGGAAGGTGAGATTAATACAGGACAAATGCTAGTAGTTTAAAGCAGTTGAAAGTTTTTTATGGTAATGTTAAATATTTCTTGTCATATTTTGGGAGAAATTTATGAAGAGTCCATGTATTTATCAGACAAAGTTGTAAAATGGGCTCACTAACCTAAAGCTATATCTTTCACCAGTTCAATATTGAAATGACACAAGTGTCTCTCAGAGAAAAGTTGGATCACAAAGTAAGTGTAACATAATTGATTGCATTATAATTTACTTTTCACGGTTTGTGCTATCAGGCAGTGCAATAGAAAAGTCAATGTCCATAGGGCAGTCTGGAGAATTGTATGAAGAATGGTTAGAGCTGAGGAATGGTTGTCTCTGCTGCTCAGTTAAGTAAGTTAAATAAACACACACAAACACACAAAAGAAAGCACTAAGTTTGAAGGGAATATCTGCATTTGGATACTGCTGCTCCTCCCTGAAACCTGTGGCTTTTTAGAGCTATGTAGTTCAGTATTTGAAACAAACTGATGGCAATGTATAGTGGATTCCGAATTCCAGACTCGTCCCAAAAGGTCAACATTTTTCTAAATACAGGAAGAGAAAACTAAAGCATACATACTGCATTTCATGAGCTTTTTGCTCTTTCGTAAGCTGACAGTCATATTGTAATTCAGTTGGAAAAAACGATTGTTAATTTAAAAATAATTAAATGAAATTTGTTCAAACTCTAAGGGATTTATGTGAACGAGATCTGAATGAAAATTGAAGGCTTTGTATTATTTTTCTATAATCAGTGGTTGTTGAAATGAAAAATGTCTAGTATGTCTAATCTTTTTATGAATAGAAAATGAATATATTCATTTTTCCTTTCAGAGACAATGGGGTCCAGGCCATTGAAAATTTGATGAAAAAGAAAGGAAAATTTGATTACATTTTATTGGAAACAACGGGTCTAGCTGATCCAGGTAATTATACTTATGTGGTTTGTGATTATTTAAATAGTATTTTTTACGTGCATGAGTGAACATTTTGGATACAGAAGTTGGAAAAATTGTCCAAAAGAAATTTAAGATGATGGTGCTTTTTTCTGTTTTTTTATAGGTCCTATAGCATCAATGTTTTGGATAGATGAAGAGTTGTGTAGTGATATTTATCTAGATGGTAAGTATTTTTATATGTCAGTAATCTCTTATCCATGCCATAGAGGTTGGATTATTTGTCTTAATATGAAAGAACAACAGTATCACAAGAACACAAGGCAAAACTGAGCAGTTTTACTTTTTTGTTCCAGCTTGTATATTGTGTGCTACTTTAAAGGGGCTTTGACTTTAAGATGGGTTTTATTTTTTTAGGGATTGTGACAGTTGTAGATGCAAAGTTCTGTTTGCAGGTAAGTACAATTTAAAGTAAAAATTGTATCACATACTATATATTGAAGCTTATTTTTAAGTCACTGATCACGAGGTGTCTCTCTTTTTCCTCTTGGATGTTCCTGTGAGTGCATGTACCGGGTATGTTAATCTATACTGTATCTTTCAGCACCTGTTGGAACAGAAACCAGATGGTGTCATCAATGAGGCAGTTAGGTGAGTTTGTACACCTTTTTCTTGAATGAAACTTTAAGTTACCAGCTTTTGAAGAAATCATGTGAAGAATAAGAACCATCAGTTAGTATGCATTTGTTATTTTTGACATTTTGACTTAAATTTTATGAATCCAAATATATGGGTGCATGCATATTTTACATTTACATTAAAATTCTATTTTAAAAATTGAGCATAACATTAGTTGCTATTGGTGAAGGCTCATTTATTACTGACATTTGAAAAGAAACATTTGCCTTTCAGTCAAGTTGCACTGGCAGATGTGATTATAATAAACAAAACAGATTTAGTCAATGATGAGGAACTGAATGACTTGAGAGCTCAGCTAAGGTAATGTGACACATCTGGGCATGGTTATTTAATGATATTGCTAAACTCACATATTAAGACATTTTACTGTTTCATATACTTATATGTCATTGATGAGTGTAACATGTAGTAAATAAAATTTATATCCTATGATACAATGTAACATATGCATTAATAATAATAATGATAATAATTTATTGAGCACATGAAATGAGTGTACATTTATAGGCTCTCTACACTACTAATTATAATATACTTAAGTTTAAATACATGTACATAGTAATAATAAAGTAATTAATGTCATTTACATCTTTATTTCACTGAAAAAGTTAGTGTTTGAAAGTGGCGTGGGTATTTAAACATCGGATTTTTCAGTTTAATAACAGCTGGGAACAGACAATACTTTGTTTAGTCATGGTGAAGTGAAACATGTGAGCTGTCTGTCATAAAGTGAATTATGTAGCATTCTGTTTTGCTTAGTGCAGCTGCACCTCATAAAATACTAGACTAAAGACATTCAGCTGTAAACATATGATGGTTATATAAAATAATCTGTATTATACTGATATATAGATAGCATGGAAGGAAAATATTTTAAATTTATGGCAGAGGTACTGTATATCCTGATCTTATCACTTTCCTGATAGGGTCATTATGGTTTCTAAATAGTGTTGTGCTTATATGTTTAAAGACTTGTGAAGTATTTCACATTTATAACAGCCATTGCCCATTTTGTTATGTACAGTAAATACTTTTTTCACTAAATTTGAATTCCTTATTTACAGCTCTATCAACAGTGTTGCCAGAAGGATGGAAACTCAGCAAGCACAGTAAGTTAAAGCAGTATGCTCTCAAATCTCATCACATCAGGCACAATCAGCACAGTACTGGGAAGAATGATATCTGGGCTCTCAAAGATTTGCATCTTGTGGCAAAGTTCGAAAAATGAAAATTGGATTTATTTAAGAAAACAAAACTTAAGAAAAGCTTACTGTCTTGATTCTGAGATATATGTAGATTGTATGTGAAAGTCAATTAAAAATGTAAAGCTTTGGTGGTATTGAACTGTTATTATTTTGTGTTTTGCAGAGTTGATCTTCCTCAGATCCTGGATCTTAATGCCTATGATGGCAGAAGCAGGAGTAGGTTAGTGAATGGCACATATTAAACTATAGTACTTGAAAGAATACATATTAGGAATCATGGAGAATTTTCACTTAAATTACTGGTCATTATATACATGTTATTAGAAAAGTTGACTTTTTAAGAATGGCATCATGGTCACCAAATCATACTGGAATGATTTATTTTACAATTTCCCCTTTCATTTAAGTTTTCTTTCTAAATAAGAAAAGTATTTATTGTGTATTTCATGTACTCCCAAATTTTTAGTTTTTCACTTAGTTGTGGGAAAACTAACATATTTATTTTTAAAAATCTAATAATAAAATGTTTTAATTATTCTTTTTATGCTTTACTTTTGGAATATGTAATTTTGAGAGAACTTAACTTGTTCTAATGTTACAGTGTTGATGAGATATTTAACTCCAAGGGGAATCAGAACACTGCTGGTGGATCACATCATTTAGACAAGGTAAGTGGCACAGGATATATGCTTGGTTGACACCAGCATTTTTAGTTAAAACACAGTGGCATAAAAGGCATGAGGTTGAAGAGGTTCCCTTGCTTTTTATACACAGAAACAAACAGTATGACAGACATATCAAGTAGATGGTTACATTTTTTATTTTTAAAAAATGAATTACTGAAATTCTCATGCTATGTACTGCATAGCACCTACTAACTCACTTACCCTGCCTATTATGATCATATTTGTGAGTTCATGATTTCTTTGATCGCTGTATTTATTTTTGTGAAATTTGTGCCACTTTTGCAATAATGCCTGTTTTTAACCATATTACTGCAAATAAGTAAAAACATCAATTTATTTTTTTTAGATCTAAAAATAGTTTCAGAAATGGAAAGCTCAGTCCTAAGTAATCAGATGTGGCGCAAAGGTGATGTTTCTTTTCCAGAATTTATTTACCACGTATAAAGTGATTTTGACATTGATTTTCAGATGCTTTCATCACTGTTTTTGCTTTAAACTAGGAACATTTCTTAGTAAGGTCACAAGTACCTTTAGGCAATAGTAAAGTGGAATCTACTTATTAAAGGGCATGGTGAAGTCCCCTCTCTCAAAAAAACAAAAGGAAATTGAGTGACAAACCATGCACATACGCTACTATAAACAAAGCTTGGTTATTAAGAAATATTTTTACACAGTTAGTTTCTATTGTTTAAAGTATTCTAGAGACTGAAAGGTTAGAATTGATATTATAGATGGAGTCCTGTGAGAAATTTTTATTTTATTTCCATGTTTAGCACATTAGGTTGTCTTGTTAATTTTATTCTTTATTTCTTAACATTTATGTTTGTAAATATTTTAAGGACAACGCTCATAAAATTGATGGTAAATCTCATATCTTACTATTTCTATTTTACATTATGATTTATACCAGTACTAAATGTTGCAACAAAATAATTCATGAATCAAACAACACATAAATACAAAAAAAAGTATTAAATTGAGATACAGAAGAAAAAACTCTCTACATGAAAGTATTGTTAAAAATATATACACATAAAATATACCAGGTAGACTGATTTTTTTCTTATTCTGAACAAATTATTATTATTTTAACTACCAAAGCCTGCACCATATTGTTTAAAAAAATATACAAGGTCAAATGTGAAAATGGTGACTTAATTTCCAAATTGATTTTGCATCACTAGCTGTCATTGTGGATGAAAAACTCTCATCCTTCATGTTCGTAGTGGTTGACTGGGACCAGTGGTTCTTTGTTTAAAAAGCATGTTTTTTCATTTCAATTCAGACTGTGACAACAGTGACATTTGAGGTCGAGGGAAGCCTCATTAAGGCAGCACTGAATGAATTCATGGACACAGTCCTTTGGGAGAAAGTGACCAACCCTGGGGGGAATACAATGGATATACTACGGATGAAGGTATTGGGTTTTTTGTTTTGGTTTCTCCAGCTGATTTTTGTTTTAGTGAAATAACATAATTTGTAGAAAAAGAGAAAAAATGACAAAAAAATTTATCTTATTTACTTTTATTGTATATTTATTAGCATTTTATGATTTTTTCTATATTCTAATGTAAACATAACAATACAAGTAGCTTTGAAATGCTCATTTTACTTTGCTAGGCTTATGCTTGATAGGCTCATTTTATTTTGGCAGGATTATGTGTGTCAAAATACAGCATTTCAGACTAACAATGACTACAATACACCCCCTGTATATTACTTAAATATGCCATGTTACGAATCTAATTATTTAAAAAAAATAAAATTTGAGGTTATGCCTTTATTGTGGTGAGGGATGATAAAGAATTATGGTCCAAATGAGAGAAATTTTAAATTATTTGATCTGGAAAATTTGTTTTGTAACATTGACTTGAATGAATTTATGAGGTAGAGTCAACAAGTGGAAACATTTCATGTGCTATCACAATTGGTTTTATGGAGTATTTGTCAACTGTTGTCCTCTTGGACTTCCTTGAAAACTATCCCACGTTATTTTTACAGCAAGCACAAGTGGAAACTATGTACCTTAACAAATTCTGATCTCTAAAATAATGAATTTATTGATAATATTTGATTGCAGGCATTTCTGCAGGTTTGTTACAGTGCTTCTGTACGTTTACTAGATACAAAACTGCTCTGTTTGACTAGGTGATGTTACAGATATACGTTCAGCTGTATCTCTATTTATGTGTGTATGTATTAGACATAACTTGTACATTAATACATTCATTATATACATGCTATTAAATACCAAGTTCATGATAAATAATAAGGCACATATGAGAGAAGGTAATTTGTATCTGGCAGCCAGTACGGTTATGCAGCTCGCAGTACAAAGTCAATATACTCTATTCTGAGAAGAGTCAAAACTTGTGCTATGTTAGCTGGGGCTAATATTCCTCAACACACCCTTAAATGCGGCCCAGAGCCGCCTCCCACATAGAGCTGTTTTGACATCAATTTGTGCGATTGGCCACATTTTTACCATCTTGCAATTTATTGATACCAGCACCTGGGGGCACCACTGGAGAATTTGGATGAAATTAGATTTGACAAGTAGAAAAAATATTATGGAAATCACATTTGAAGGAAGCAATAACAAAACAGTGTAATGTTTTGATAGTGGTCCTTATGCAACTGTGTGTGGTTGCAGGAGAGTGGACCAGCCTTACCAAGCCTCCCTCTCTGTAAGTGCTCGGACAGAACCGCGACTCCAAAGAATAAATTTCTTCTGAAGGAGGGGCTGATATTTGGTGACAGTTTAGTCCAGGTGCCAAATATTAGGTGAGGACTGTGTTAATAACAAGCAAGTAAATTATCATACCTGTAAAACTTTTGTCTAAGCCTCCCTACTACCAGAAATGTGTATTTTAATTGAACTTCCAAAATGAGCCATTAATTCTTGGATGTAAGAAATTTACACCTATATTGAGCACTCTGGAAGATATTGCCTTGGTATATTTTTTTCACTAATTAAATTGAGGTTAACAATGATATATACATGGAAGAGAATGAAGTGCTATCTAATGGAGATTGATGGAGTGTCAGCAATATGCTGCCAAAATTTTATCACCAGCATGATTGCACAATGAGGAACATTTGAAAGGTTTTTGAACTAACTAAGAAGGTATAACAGTGTGATTTCATGATTTTATTTTGTTGTTTATAAGCCAGAATAAACAGATAAGTAACCAATGGCATTTTGGCATTTTTAAAACAGAAATGGATAAGGTTATGTTATTAGGACATGATAGAAAAACCTTAATCTGCAAAGTAAGAATAGAATAATAGAGATGGACACTTACAATTAAAAATTGTGAAAAAATGAAATCTATTTGGTATGGGTATGTTCTCCCATATTTTCTGGTCCCCACAAACCAAATATATGGCTGAATAAATGGATTGTGTTAAGGTTTTATACACTGCAGATTGTTTATACAAAAGTTAAAACAATACATATGGTTAAGAAAATTCCTTTCTAAATTCCAAAATGTGTTATTAACAAATGAAGGCAGATAAGTACACTACTTCGAGATGTTTAAAAAATGTACTTTTCTGTTTAAATACTGTAATGATAAAGATTTTCTTTCTTTCTGCTATTCTACAGATTGGCATTGTGTTAAATTGGTATTTGATTAGTGAACCAATTCTTTAATCATTGTTCGGGGATGATTTTCTGCAAACCACACATGCAGCGACCGTGTGTAGCACATGGCGCAGGGATGTCAAACAATTACTAGCATAATCTCCTCCACCTAAATCGTGTTCTCCAACAGAGAAATGGGAATGATACAGTTTCCACATTTTTGCTAGAAACAAATGGATTTAGCACAACTAGTTGTGGAAATATGAAATAGATTAGTGAGGACTCTTCAGCTATGTTTGTTGTAAACGATTTTTTGTTATGTTGAAAATTTGTAATATATATTACTGAATCCAAATAATAATATGATGAGAGACATGTAATTTTAGTTTTTATATATTTTGTTTGTAAGCTTCATTTACGAATTTTAAATATAAGATTAAGTATAATTCCCTTCACATTCCTAGGAAGGTATAGTTTTAGCTGTCTTCAGATTGATGTTGTAAGCTTGAAATTTGAAAAGGTATAATGTTTTTATTGTACTTGGCTGAACAGCTAAACTTCACACCCTTTGCCTGTAAAGAAAACAGATAGTAAATGGAATCAAATCTAAAAAGGAAAAAAAACAGAAGGTTCTGCAAACTTGTCATGTGGAAACCATTGGAAAGATATAGAACATAATTAATTGGGCCATTACTGTCTGTGTGTGTTTCCCTCTGCTCCACCAACCAAAATGCAGGCTCAAATTGGCAAAGTGAAAACCGCTTTGACACGTTAAGATAATTAAGAAAGGAATGGATGTATCTTGTAAGAAAATTTACAGAGTCAATATTTGTAGAAAGATATGTACAACTTCCCCAACGGCCAAACCGCGACCTTTTGTTTTTCTACCGCCAGTGTAGCTATGGTTAGAATTACGGTAATTGTCTCAATGAGGACTACAATAACAAATATGCAATTTATTGCAAAAACTTGACTTAACTGGTCCCCTAGTTTTAACATGGGCCCATCTTTCAAAATATCAGTTGGAATTGAGTGTTTGCTTAAATAGTCTTTGGCATGTGCATGTGTTTGCCCGTGTAATGCAATTTGTACCCTTTGCACAAAAGGTTACCATGGAAACAAGATGTTCTGGTTTGTATTTTGCACCACCTACATCGCTTGCAACCCCCAGAGTGTTGGGAAATGATATTTCAACAATATGTGCTTTACCAAGAATGAATATTTTATTGTGAGGGGATAGCAAATTTATGATGAATTAGATTGAAAATTAAAGTAAGGCTACATGTGTATATGTGTCATGGCAAAATGGGTATGCCTACCAAAATATGTACATCCGGTAATGAACAAGAATGCAAAGCAGTGAATTTTGAGTTTGTTCAGCAAAGTTTTATTGCAAAACATGTTCAAACAGTTAAAATGAATGTAGAAACAACCAAAATGGAGTGATAAAAAAACCAAAAACCCAAGGGGTTGACATAAGAATGAATTTAACACTTGCCAAATTTATATATGTTTAGCCAGGGTGACAGAAATAGCATGTGTAGTTCAAAATAAACTATAGTCCTATTTCCCAGTACTTTGTACAGGTGATATTTGTCCCACATTCTAACCCCAGCATTTCTAGAGGGAAACCCTAGAACCACCCATATTTAGTGCAATTTAAAAAATAATATTTTTTCTGTTGTTTATTACAAATGAAAGAATTTTGAAATTGTCTGCGGGCAAGGTGTTTTTGTGGTAAAGATATGGGCATTTAAATGTCAATAGACTGGCTGTGCCCAGTAAGTATTCAGGATTTAAAAATTTGTTAGAATTGCACATTTGATAAGATAAATTGAATTTTCCTGTTGTGATCGGCATTATTCTCATTCTAGGCATACTAATCATCATTTTGTATTCTTTCAAACTTAAAAATACCCTTGAAATATACATGTATATAAATTCCAATACCACTTTTCAGCACCAAATAAAGTCATCAGTGTTTCAGGAAACCCCTGGGTTTTAGTGCAGACGGGGGTTTCAGACCTGACTCTCCAAGTTGACCTTGGACTCTCCACCTGTGCCCATTGGCTAGCCATCAATCACCAGACCGTGTCCACCCACCCCATTAAGGGGGTATTTATGAACAACAGGTGCCCAGTACTTTTAGGGTGTCAGTTTTAGCAGTGGTGCTATAAGGTCATACATGTATATACTGTGTATATGTATGTTTCCCCTGTTGCCCTCACCCCCACTTCTGACCATGTGCCTTCACATATATTAGTATGAGGAAACATTTTTTTGACAAATCTGTTTTAATTTATTTTTATTTTATTTATTTATTTATTTATTTTGCCTCTTTTTTTCCTTTTTGTTTGCTGCTCAGGATTCATTTTGCTTGAACCACCTTTTGATTTATTTTCTGTAAACTGTTATTTTGTTCTTTTCAAGAAAAAAAAACTTGGGAAAATTTTATGTGAACCTAATTGCCCTTAAATTTTGTTAATGTTTTTCTTTCATATTTGACCAAGTTCATGGCAGAAATCATACTTGAAAGCACAAGTTTTTGATAAATGTTAGACAGACTTTTTTTTACAGAAATACAGGTGTTTTCAGAAAACAGCTTCTCGGAAAATTTGTAGCATACAATCGATATGATACACTCTGCTGCTTCCTTATCAAATTATATAAACTTACATCTTTAAGGTTTGATACAAGTAATGTAATTAAATAACCTTATGTGCTAAATATCTGCTCTTTTGCTGACGGTGAAAAGGGAAAGCTGACAACAGGTTTCCTAACATTGGTCAGCTAATTTTGCTCAAAACCTTTTTCTTTCTACCTTTTACTTGAGATATGGTCCTTCATACAGGGAACTTAGGCTTTAATTGTTCTAGTAATTGATTCATATTTGAGATTGTTTGCATATGAAATCTTGGAAGTGGAATATATAAGAATGATAAGACATACTAAAACAGATATTTTTTTAAAAAAGATATAATGTAGGTAAGCTGCATTTTCAATTAGTTTTCAAAAGTCAAACTTGGGATGTTTATATTAAGTTACATATGGCATGCTACAATAGAAGAGTGATAAGGGTTATTTACAATAAGAATGAAGAGACATTAGCAAATAGTCAAGACCCTCTTGAAGGCAAAGAGTGCATGTCTATTCTACCATTACATTTTCCAACCAGCAAAAAAAAGTTTTGGTATGTTCTTTCTTCCAGTACATCAGCAAATGTTGAGGAATGGAGTAATCCCAAAGCCATCAGGCATGTTGCAGACAGATGCAGACTGTAAAGTTAGCTGAAGAAAAATAAAGAAAACAACAGGGCGCTTTCACTTGAGTATAAAGCCATATGCATTTTGACTTTCTTTTAAGTGATCCGGAGAAACACAACTGTCTTGATTGAGTTTTGCAGCAAATGTTTGCCTTACATCTGACAGCCAGCCAGCTTTTTCCCCAGTAAACCGACACTGAGGGAGAACCAAAGAAATCAATTTTGCCAAATGGGTACCAGATTTACCGAGTTTTTCAAAGTGTAAAAAACATGGGTTTGTGTAGTAGAAGATCAACGAAGGGAACCCTACCACCCACGTGAGCTGTGATGTGATTGGCCACGAGATTTGAGGTCACTTGATGTTAAAACAAATATTATGCCGCTTGTAACTGCAATGTTTGTTGCTCTAACTAAAATTTCCTCCCAACTCTGCTCAATGCATTACAGATGGAAAGAGTTAGTTTCTTTTCCTCTTTTTCCTGCTTTTTATTCTAACACCTTCGATCAAGCCCCATGATGACATTCAGCTTAAGCTGAAAATTCCATTTGGAAAAAGGATCAGCTTATTCGCAGTTTAGAATAGCTTCACTTTGTTGCAGGAAATCCACATGATGGCTCAAATGTGAAAAGGTTGAGAAGCTTCTCACCTTGGTGGGAATAACATTTACACTTGAGAGAGAGGAGAATTTTTCAACAGAGGATTTGATTTACTGACAGCAGCGCACAGAAATCCAAAAGCCAAATTTTAGTTACAGCCAGTGTTTAGTTGACAGCATGTGTGTGATGTTTAGTTATTTGGGAAGGGGTTTTAAAAAAAGAGCAGTGTTACATATGTGTGCACTCATAACCCCAAGTGTCAAATGTTCCAAATTAAATTGAAATCAAAATTTAATTCCATCCAAATAAGAAATATAAACAGAATATTTCATGAAAGTTGTTATAGCACCACATTGAATGGGGGCGCCACTAGGGTGTGCCTCATAAAATGAGTGTGCAAATTCATGTGCCTAAAATTTAAATATACAATGTAATGAAGTTTGTAAAATTGGAAGAATAGAAAAGTTTTATAATTCCTGCCTAAAAATGATATTCCTGTGATTTAGAGTATGATTTTTAAAAAATAAACACAGCAACCAGAAGTCCAGTGTGTTTTTAGGCATCCATCAGAGGCTATACAATGTAGATAAGAACTTAGCTAATTCACTTACATGTTATAGAAGTTTCCTGGTGCTGATCAAATATCAAAGTGCACTGGAGTATTATGTTGATTGTTTCAAGCAGTTTTGGTATTAATCACGATGTCCAGATATGTCTGATGACAAAGTTGTCAGGAGCTTTGCTTTTTTCCCTTGAAAATGCAGAACTTTTATTATAATTACATGTAACCCATGAGGTTGGGTAATACACCACCTGCCAGTCATTTACTCAGAGTATGACTGTCTTACTTCAGGGAGTCACCAGTATTGTGGACTGTCCAAGGAGAGTCATTGTCCAAGCAGTCCATGAATTGTATGACAGGCAGGAGACAACGCTATGGGAAGAATCAGAGCAGAGGATGAACAGATTGGTTTTTATAGGTAAATTGTTTCACCCAGAATACAGTGTGAATCATTGTCTGTATAAATGTCTGTATATAAATAACAGTGTATTTCTCAACATGGATTGCGATGTTACAGCCAAATCTTATATTTGTAATTTGAAAATTAAGGTTGTTTATCATAAGCATTATAGTCAAAACATGACGATATATTGTACTATTTTTTAAAGAATTAGATAGAAAATTATGTTATGAATAACAAAAATATTTTCACACACACACAAAATAGTTTAACCTTTATCTTTTTTGTGATTTTGTAACATACTGATCAACATGTTTTTCATATGAACTCTTTTTATTTAATTTTTTTCCACGTATTGCATAGGTAAAAACCTAGAAAAGGAAACTCTGCAGAATTTATTTATGATGAAGGTTGAAGAACAAACAAGTAACAGTGGATCCAGCTGATATGGCATGTGCAAACAGTATGCCTGGAGTTATCAGAAAGATCATGTCTATGTTCACCTGTGTCACTTGAGCAGATTTCAGTACATATACTTCGACGTTGCAGAGTTACATGTAGATAAAAAAGGCACATTTCTACCAAACTTATAATTAAATAGAATAAAGGTATTGTAATGCTATTTTGTATATGGAGCCTTCAGATACATGTACATGTAGGTACAGTAATGGTTGAACACATAACATTGATTTTCAAAAGTTCCGTTGTTACAACTGATTTTGGAACAGCTCAAGTGCAGTTGGATGCAGTATCTGAAATAGTTAACATGTAACATCCAATATGTCTTAAGAGTAAGTCGTGAAATAAATTCTTTGCTTTTGAAGAACACAATAGTCATGACAAAGATCTGTAGATACATTAAGCAAACCAAATGAGAGAGAGATGGTTGCTCTAATGCAAAGAAATTTAAAGCTAGATGCTCATTGGGTATTGATGTGTAGCTGCAAACTTTAGAATAATAAATTTAAAAAAATAAATTTAAATATACAATGTATGTATATATTGAGTTGCTTTGTGTACTTATTTTTTTATCATTAAAGCAAAGGCACTGCTACGTAGACTTAAATTTTTTTTTTTACAAAAAAAAATGAAAATCTTATTTTAACACATAATGAAATCAATTTATCTAATATCTATTGGCAAATGATGCTTAACTTTATCAAAACATTTTGAAATGTATGCTTTCATCTTGGAAAACCCCAATATTTATTATTTAGAGGCATGTGCATGTACTTTGTAACAAATGGGAATACGTAATACATGTATCAAAGTCAGTAACAGGTCGACTGTTTGATAGGTTTCTTGTTTGTTTTCTCTCTACATGTTTGTTTTCGTCTGAGCTCACATTCTACGCCTGGTCCGACTTATAAATAATTCTTTATAGCAAAACGTGTTTGTTGCCAGAAGGGAAAACTCGTTCTTCTTTGTGCTGAAACGCCATTAATCCACAGATAAAGACGTTTCCATATCTCATCAGACATTCCTTCGTGATGGTAGATGGGATGATGCTTTGAAAAAGAAAAAAAGATATCTAATCGGTCCTTCTGCAAAAGTAATCACAAACGTTGCAACAGCTCCGCGCACATTGCAGCTTACTTTGCTGTGTCGTTTAAGCGCTGAGTTTGAAGTGGCGAAAGGGTGTTATGCGGTAAAAGTGTCATAATTTACAGTGAAAAATCGCCCCATCGCTTTGAAATTATAGACGTGGCAAAACAATAAAAGCACACGGGCCACTTTGAGGTGGCTTATTTCTTCTTCCGAAATATGCTGTTAATTGTTCGTCAGCAGCACATTCGTAATCATTAGTTACTTTTATTGGACAGGTGACCTCACTACTCAAAAGTAAATGTTATTTCTTCTAAATGATACAGGGCCAATCGCGTGGTGATTAGAAAAACAGTCAATTCATGGAGGGAACATATGGAAGAGAGAAATAACACTCTCGTCGGAGATTTTAGTGTATAATAGCACTTGTGAACAATAAAATATATACATGTACATAAGCACAATGGTCCTTATTCTGTGAGAGTTGTGGAGGTTTTGGTAGAAAATTCTTTAACGCCATCAAAGAATATAATATCCTTTAATGGTAAAATGGGCGAGTTTTTGTTTCAAAATGATACAAATTATGTAATATGCTTATATACTTTTACGTCATATTGTTTTAATAAATAGGTATTATGAAAAAAGATGAAATAGAGATTGCATCGGTCATAAGAGAAAACTATTTATAAAACCGTTTTAATGTCTGCATTCCCCAATTTACCTATAAAATGTAGTAGTATGTGTCAATTTAAGTTTCTTCTTCTATTTTAAATGCTGCTATAGTATTTTATGATCTAATGAAAAGTTGCAATTGAAGGAGGAGGGGGCGGGGTAATTTGATATGTATGTGACGACGATATCACAGGTAAAGGTTTTCAAAATCTGTGGCTTAATTATGCAGTGTCATTTCAATGCGATCCTCTTTATTTTTCATCAATTTAGAGAACAATAAACATAAATAAAATATGATTAATAATCAAGCATTCCAAACGTAATCCTTTTCTCTAGTTCATAAAGAAAATGCAATTAGGATTTTTTTCTCTTTTTTTTCTCTAAGTCCCGGCCTCAATTGATGGGCGTTTCATTGCCTCACCGTGAGCCGGTTAAGAAAATTCTCCCGGTCTAGCGGTCGTTTGTTGGTCCATTTATCTTCGGAAATTTGTCCATTGCGATGAAAAACACGCCAAGAAATTGTTCCAACATGAAAGAGTACACACCAATGCCAATAAATAGAGTTGTTTTGATGTAAGCCTAAACCAAACGCGTAGTCACCTGCTACCATGATATTTCATCTTCCAGTGAGCGAGGACGTTCACCTAAACTGTACTTACTTTCCGTGTTTTAAACGGAAAGGAAACATTCATATGCTTGTTTGTCTTGCAAATATTTAGCATTATACCTAACATGAATTTGTATTTCTTTCTTTCTTTCTTTTTCTTAAACAAGTAAACACAAAAGTAAATGGGAAGAAGAGAGTTAGAATGACCAGTCCATGTAGACTTTGAATAAACATCGGAACATGTGTATTGCTTGCTTACATAGGCGTGTAAATGCAGAAAGGAAATATTTTAGCCAAACGCGTTCGTTGGATAAGACCAAAGATTGAAACAGCAAACAAAACGCTGAGCAAATGTTAGTGTACATAAGATAATTTTTGCTCTCAAAAAAAGCTGCAGCGAAGAAAAAATAGAAGGATATTTGATTATGGAGCCGAAAATAGAGAGGAGAATCAATCTTTTTTTGTTGTCTTGCATCTTGCCAACTTTTTATTTGAAGAAATGCATTATTTCGACTGTTTTAGTAATCGACCAAGCTTTTTATAAGAAACATTATCAAATTAACAGATTAAATCTAACAACGCAACATCACAGTATATTAAACATTACAATTACACAAACACAATCGATAGTTAGGAGATTATGTGTTCAAAACTTTCTAAGATGTGAAGATGTCGCAATATAATAAAGTGTGAGTCAAAGGAAAAGGGTAAATTTATTGTTTTTATATCTTAATCGTTTTCCTGGTCTGTCTTCGATTAAGGGGTCTTTGTTCGATTCCGTCGTGGCAACTTGGCGCTTTGCTGTGACGATTCGACCAAACTCACTGATTCACTGGTTCTGACTAATCTAAATCTATACTTATGGTCAGAAATACATCGTCCATGGGCTACATTAACTGAAATCAGCTTTTCGACAAGTTCCCATCGTACTGTCCGCAAATATCATTTGAAAATAGCCACAGGAAGCGTCGAGAGTAAGTGGCAGACGATATTATGTCGGAGCGCGCGCGTCATCAATACGCAGGGGATTATCGTCCCGGAGGGTATAGTGTATATATGTTGATTGTATCTCCGCAATTTCCTTAAAATCCATCGTACAATCATAAGCAGCTAAACAAAGCTTGTTTCGATTTGACCAACGCTCTTTGCTGTGTATTTTCTCTTCTCGTCTCAGTTATTGCTCAGGGGTTGCGATTTGCAAACAAAAACTTGGTTGACATCTCCACCGATGTACATTTCACGTCAATTTCACCATGACGGGTGACAAAGCCGCAATAATGCCATTGAAACAACTATAAATACAGCTTATTTGCTGTTTGCTTAGCCCTGCGCGGACCATCAGGGGTAAGAAGGTGGTAGAAGCAGTGCAATCCACTTCGATGCGCACTTGATCTTCGTGGAGAGATTTGCACCTGCTGAAGAGGGGGTCAGGCGAATACGACCAATTCTAAGCGAAAAATCGCAAGTCTTTATCCCCATTCACAACGAAAATTCTCCAACAAAAAAGAATAAAAATACTCTTAAAGTGTTGTACCTCCCCATCATGCGGATTACGCTCTCCTTCGTGCCTGGATTTTGAATTAAGGCAAAATCTCAATTTGTCTTTGTACAAGTTGAATTGGAACCTACTAATGTAGTTCGGCATTTTCAATGATAAGGCTACTGAAGTGGATTTTGAAGAAAAATGAATGTGGCATTTTGAGAAAAGCTGGACTAGAATACTTTTTAATCGTGAGCGAACATTGTTCAAGAAATTGACCAGCGTAAGGGAACAAAGTTTTTTCATTAAAATTCTTATTGGCTATTTATTGTTTGGATAAAAAAATATCAAAATAAGTGGTGATCACTTTCAAGGAGATATCCAAATATCGACGAAGATAACCAAATCAAATGTGATAAGATCATAAAAAATCCCATCCACAAATCCTTCGAGAAAGGAACGTCATTCAGAACCATCGGTCTGGCAGAGAATGCTTTGACAAGTTGCATTCGTTAGTTTTTTCTCTTCTGTATCCTACGCGAAACTTCTCTATGTCAATATTTGAAGGTCGCACTCTGTATACGCTCACGAGAACCTCCCTCCATCTTCTGTTATTCTTCCTTGAGGTGTTGCGATGAGATAGATTATCATAATTATCTCAATAGGGACAGAACTAACAGAAGCGCAATCCACTGCCAAAACGCGGGACCTGGTTTTGTTGGTAGCACCTTTCCAAATAGCGAACTGAACCGTCCTTGTTTTCTTACAACAAACGAGGCACATGGTCGTGTTTTTCACAGTAACAAGGGCAGATAACATTTTCATTTGGTTACCATGGTGACGATCTTCGCCTCTGGCCCTCGGACACCACCAACGATGTTTTCAACATTGCTTTCTTGTTGGAATTGCTTTGGACAATTTCGAGAAATTGGTTTATAACCATTTTTTAAATGTAATTGTTAATTAATGCTTGCCTAACCGAACTCAGTATTTCATATTTCTACTTGTGCTTAACTTATTGATAAATCAATATACACATTTTCGCTGACCCCAGTAACACTTAAATATCTTCAAATCAGAAGACCAAATCCAAAATAAAAAAGAATCTGTAAAATCTAGACACAAAGCAAATACAATGGATAATTTACAATAAAACGCGAGGTGAACACAAAATACTGTTTTCGCCATTTACAAAAGCTTTAGAGTATACAAAAATGACGCTGGTGTTATTGCGTACGCGACTAGAACTGTATCCATTTGATGAAATTCTGTGTAAACAATAGAACATCTTTTTTTGTCAAGTAGACTTAATCTGTGCACGATCGACCCTTACGCACTAATGCCTCTGTCCGCGTTCTGATATTCCGGCAGCGGTATTTGTTCCTGTACAGGACAATTACCGGAATAGAGGGCAAATTCTGCCCCTGGTTGTCCGTCCAATACTGAAATCCCTGTATGACTCTCGTTGTACGAAAAGGATATGACCTTGATTTATGCTAGTGCATGGGAAACGTCTGCTTAATTAGTTTGACTAAGACAACATGAAAAAAAAAATAATTGCATAATTTTCCTTTAATGATCAGTTTCTGATAAGGGTAACAACAACTGTACGATTTGAAGGTCACATTAGAAAGTATAGTAGAAAGGCCAATACACATTTAGTGATTGAGATGCAACAAGTACGGGCAATGGTT